TTTCCGTTTGTATCACATCTACAAACTGTTCCTGCGTGTGATGCGTTGACCGGATACGCTTTTGTGGTTGAGATCTCTCGAAACAAAAAATGTCACCTGCATAACATCACCCCTTCCCATCTCGCGCAGCCCTCTCGCTGAACCAAAGTCTCGTCTCTGAGGCGTGACGTAATTTATGCACGATCCCTAAGTGAGGGTCGCTCAAGAAGTTTTCGATCGAAGCCGCGTCAATGATCCGCCCTCTGGAGACTTTAACGAAGAGTAGAAAAGTAAAAAATCGTTTAAACCATCGTCACTGCCTCATAAACCTTCTTTATTAACAATTGAACGAAACAAAACACAAGAAAATGGAAAGCCAATGCCAATAACAAACAAAATGCCTGGGATGTTTCGGGGGTAGTTTCAACCCTCTTAATGATAGGGAACAAAAATGAAAAAAAAAATCCAAAAACCCCTCGGACCCGCATCTGTGATTGTCTTGATCTTGTGATCTGTGGTCGCTCAAGAAGTTTTCGATCGAAGCCGCGTCAATGATCCGCCCTCTGGAGACTTTAACGAAGAGTAGAAAAGTAAAAAATCGTTTAAACCATCGTCACTGCCTCATAAACCTTCTTTATTAACAATTGAACGAAACAAAACACAAGAAAATGGAAAGCCAATGCCAATAACAAACAAAATGCCTGGGATGTTTCGGGGGTAGTTTCAACCCTCTTAATGATAGGGAACAAAAATGAAAAAAAAAATCCAAAAACCCCTCGGACCCGCATCTGTGAAAGAGGTTTTTGGATAACCTTTCTTTCTTGCTATCACAAACGTGGGTCTGAGAGGTTTTTGGATTTTTATATTTTTGTTTCCTGGTTGAGAAGGGGGTTGAAACCACCCTGAAACGTCCCAGGCATTTTGTTTGATTTTAGCCTTGGTTTCTCATTTTCTTGTGTTTATTTTCGTTAAATTATTCGGGCTATTTTTGTGTGTCATGGTTAACGATTAAATACACGCATCGCGTGGAGTCATTTTCTCTCCTGTTTTATTTTTTAAAGAGAGAAATAAACTACTCAACGCCTTAAATTGTCTGTTAATTTACCTCAGCTCATTAAGAGCATTCTCACAACATTTCAAGTCTCAGTGTCGCTTAGTTCCCTGCTTTCATTTAAAACATCAGAGAAAACTAGGCAACGTCTGACGCAGTTAGGCTGATTTCTTTGAAATCTGTTCATTATTCTCTGCATTCTCAGATGCTCTAAGTAAAATTCCTGACAAATTCTCAAAAAATTCCCAAGTTTCTCGGCATTTTTGAACCCTATTATCACATGAGTTTTGGCATCATTTAAATGCTCCTACGACCTTTTTCCTCAGCAGGGCTGAATGGAAAATAATTGGCATTATTGAACTGTGAAAATTCAAAACCTGGTAAGGGTACCAAGTTTTGCTAAGATTGTGCCAGTGTTTCGCAATGTAAAAAAACCTGAACGCAGTGAACGCCTTCGCTCAATAGATTTTTCATCGAGTAATTTTCTCTAAATTTCGGTCTTACTTTCAACTTAAGAATACTTGTTATTCATGGACTAATGGATTCCCGTTTAATGAGAAAGACAGCTGCACAATCTAAAAAACACCTGCGGGCTGATTATTGAAACTGATAGACAAAGCTATAGACAAAAAACACAAATAGAATATTGAGCGATTCCAATTTGTGGAGGCGGGTGGTTGCAATGGTTGCAAAGGTGGCTGATAACTGAAATTGACAGACAAAGCTATCGGCAAAGCGATGGATAAAGGAGACGGTGAAAATGGAGCGATTCTATTGGTGGAAGTGGGTGGTTACAAAATAAGCAGTAGACTAACGGCAACCCGCGTGAGGCCCTAATGTTAGTCCATCACTTTCCCTCTTTCAGTCTGCAAGAACCATCCGTTGCAACCAATCAGATCGCTCTATTTTCCCGTCGTCGTCCTTGTCCAACGCTTTGCCTATCAATCTCAATAATCAGCCCGCCGATGGCGCTTCTCAGGCTTTGAAGTTTCACTGCTCATTTGCAGATCTGTTCAACGTATTTATGCCAAAAGGAACTATGTCTCGCGCAAACCCTATGAACATAGTTCCTTTTAGCCATGGTGTCTAGTTCTTTAAAAACCAAAAAAAAAAAACGGGATTCATCAGGGAATGAAAATTTACCGGGAAAATCAGGGGAGAATCAAGGAATTTGTTCCAGAAACCGAGAAAATCAGGGGAAAATCAGGGAAGTTGCTCTAGAAACCGGAAATAATGTAGAAGCTTTCATTGACCAGATAATATCAACATCAGGAACATTTTTTTAATTGAAATTTTGAATGTGCGCCAAAGAAAAGGCTGTATGATTAATTAAAATCGATATTCATATCTGAAACTCTAGAAAATTATATTCTTTTCCCCTAGAAAATCCCGGGAAAGTGGGAGAAAACTTCGGTTTCTCATCGGGGAATGAGCTCCTGAATACAGGGAAAATCAGGGAATAATCAGGGAATGAGCTTTGCCATGAAAACTAGACACCATGTATTCAACGTATTTATGCCAAAAGGAACTATGTTTCACGCAAACCCTGAGAACATAGTTCCTTTTAGCATGAACACGTCCTATTGTCGAGTTTTGGCGCGCTATATAATGACGTTACGGCGAGGAAGTCTATGAACCCGCCCGAGTGTGGTAACCCGTCGGGAAACTAGTCTACTCCGGTGCTTCCCTCTTGTTTTGCCGTGAAAGATGGAAGAATTCGAGCGGTAGGAGCATTCCTCATCGCGCGTCGCGCCCATCGGGCGATGCCTGTCGCGAGGGCGTATCTCTATCTCCACATGAGCTCCAGAAAACGAAGAGATATAACGAGAACAAGGCTCACTTGAAAATCGAGATACGCTCTTACGTCAGAGGAGCGACGCATTGGGCGGTACCTGCCAAGTCTGCCGCGCTATGGAAAAACGACCAATGAGCCTTCAGGTGTTGCCAAATCTCCCCTGGCAAATCACTAATTTTCAGGAAAATTGTTGAATGTTTGTCGACCAATTTCTCAGATAATTTTTTTTTTTGTAATTTGATCTAAAACGTCTGAAAATTTCAAGGGAAAATATTCATCATTTTCCTCGAAAATAAACATTTTATCGAAGGAAATTTGGCAACTCTCGGATGTTCATACGGCGTTCTTCCTTAGCACGGCAGAACTCGCCCCGGACACACGACCACACGAGGAAAGGAGGCTCTAATGACCTCATCTGGACGTATTTAAATCCAAAGGAACTATGTCCACTCTGATATGGGCCCTGAGATTCTTAAGAATACATACATGGCACGGCTCATGGCACAATGGGCCATAGTTCCTTTTGATTTAAATGCGTTCATCTGAGCATTTTATGGCAGAGGGAGCAAGGTCTAGGTAACCGCCCTCTTCTTAACGCCGCTGTGGGCTCCTGTTTAATGCCGGCAAAAACCCACCGGTCTATTAAAAAACTCGCAAAGTTTTCCATCCTTCCTCCGGCCCCTGAAACGAGAGCTTCATCTCGTATTTTTATCATTTTTTTATTTGAACGAAATAACGGAACCACAGAGGGCGTTTCTGATTCATACCCCGTGAAACCTATTGATTCTTTTTTTTCCTCCTTTAAAAATAAATTTTAAAAAATAGAATGAAAAAAACAATAAGCATCTTACGAAAACGATTATACCGTTTGCAGCGATATGGCAAAGTCCCCATGCCTTGAAAGTATTTTTTTGTAATAAAATTGTCAAGTTGCATAGGGCGTACCCCTAAATTTGCAACGGTCCAGATCGTTATTCGTTTATTATGTAACAACTGAAATGTACTCTTGCGTAACATAATGATTAAGTCCTTTTTTGCATTAGAATGAAACTCTATTCTATAGAAACAAAATTATTCTATCATTTTTAATACATACATACTGCGAAGAGCTCGTTTTTTTTCTAAATGATACCTAGTTACAAAGATTGATTCCGTGGAATTTGAAATCGATTAGCGTGCACCGTAAGTATTTTTTCTCTTGGGGTTTTTCTTCTTTTCTTCACAATGAGCCATTTTTAGGTTATAATTTCATGAATGATTCTTCTGATTCTATTAGCCCATGCTATTTTTTAATATGTTAGGTTTCATTAATTAATAGAGTAGAGCACACGTTAGAAAAAAAAGTACTTTCTTCCTAATTTTTCTGAAGAGGAGCAAGGGTGCCCTCTGCAACTTGGACGACGGAAATTAGAGATATAAAACTATGATGCTGAAAATTGATTTGTGAACGACTTTTTTCATCGTGGAATGGATCAAATCAGTTCATCTTGCTTTCTTCAAGTCAATGTCCCATTTCTGCATCGGAGGTAAACCACCGAAAGCACTGCTGTAAATTGAAAGAATTTGAGAAAATCCTTGTTCATAATATTGTCTTATATGGAGTCATATTGAAATTTGTTCTCGGAACATGCAAAGATCAATGAACAACGCAGAAAAAGCTTGCAGTCAATTTTTATGAATGGTGATGCTTTTTTTTTAAGTAACGAAAGATGAGAAAAATAATGGAAACTAGAAAATCTTAGCATTACAAATCGATTTTGAGTGTGCTGATCCCCCCTGTCAAAAATCAACTCATAGTCGATACATTAATTTTCCAACCCTTCCCTGGTACCTCTATTGTGTCCTCAATTTGAGGTCCCTAGTTCCAAACCCGGGAATCTCCATTGCCCCGTCTAAAAATTGTGCAATCATCTGAATATTTCTGTGAGGAACAATCAAAACGTCCAACTGTTTTTAAAATTTTCCAAATTTTCTCGCTTAATAACAGAAAATTCACGAGAAAACATAAACATGTAGGTTTTCCCGTTCTTTCTCTTTTAAAATCATAATGATCGCACAATTTTTAGACAGAGAAATGGAGATTGCTGGGTTTGGAGCTAGGGGCCTCATTTCTGCTTCTCTCCAAAACACTTCGATCCCCCCAAGAAATGCCCCCCGCGAGAAAGAAGGGCCGACTTAGGGAATGGTATAATTTAATTTATTCACCGTAAATTTTGAGAACAAACGAGGGCAAGTAAAAAATAAATCAACAGACAATATGGCAGGAAATTTGAAAAAACCTAGGAATCCTATGTACACATGTAATCCTAAAACGGTACATTTAATGGTCTATCACATTTCGTCAGAGGCCCGACTGGTGGTCTCTTTCAGCTTTGGCCTCGATGGTGGCCTCGAGATTCGGCCTTAAGCGACTGGGTCGATTCTGTAGCTGACGGCATGTCCGGGGGTATGGACGATGTCGGTCTTGATGGCTGCGACTCCGAGGGCGGGAGCGGAGTATACGGCTGGGGCGGCGGCGTAAGATACGGCGGGAGCGGAGTAAACGGCTGGGGCGGCGGCGTAAGATACGGCGGGGGCGGCGTAAGCTACGGCTGGGGCAGCAACGATTGAGGCGGCGAGAGGAGAGGTGCTGGCTGGGGTCTGGTAGAAGAGACTGCGCTTTCCACGGCGAGCGTGCTCGGCTAAGTGGGCGTGCTTAGCGGCAGCAACCTAAGAAATCAACAGAAATGGACAAATGTGTCATTAATGGTCAACGGTTAAATATTGATCATTCTTTCGTATCGGTCCGAGGGGAAAGGAATCTAGAGTACCTATATAGCGAGAGTATGGGCAGATCGCTTCGTAGAGGGCTTAGGGCCCAAAAGTGCAGCCACCCTTCTAACCAACTTCTAGCGCACAAAATTTCACTGCCAGTCTGCAGATTCCAATTCTAACCAAGATGGCTAAGAATGTATATAAATGAGCGTTCTTCCTCAAAAATGAGTAAATTTATGCAAAAACTAAGTCAAATACGTGCTTTATAAACGATGGTTCGTAACAATTGTATTAGTAAATCGCTCTGGATAATTGAAATTCATAGGTTGGCTGCATTTCTGGGCCCTAACTTTATTCGCGGAGGCATCGGTGAAGGCCTGCTGGATTTTCGGAGTTTCACATCTGTCTATACTCTCGCTATACAGGTACTCTAAAGGAATCTTACTGCCGTGCTGAGGAAAAACGCCGTATGAACCCTCGTACGTTGCCAAATTTCTGTTGGTAAATTACGAATTTTCAGGACAACTTGTGAAAACTTTCCGCCCAATTTTTCAGAAAATTTTCTGTTCCATGTTATCTAAATTCTCAGAAAATGTCGGAAAGAAATATTCATTATTTGTCTCAGAAATTAATATTTGAAGAGGGGAAATTCGGCAACTCTCGGGTGTTCATACGGCGTTTTTCCTCAGCACGGCAGCGTAGTAGTAGTGCTTTTTAAAATGCACCCTCTAGAAACTCATGAGAATCCTACAAACACTATTCTTCAGAAAGCCTTTTTCGGCTATTCTGTTCAAGGAAAATGTACGTCTTGAAAAATCAACGCAAAAAATCATTTTAAGGAAAACCATTACCACTTCATAAGAATTGTTTAACCGTTTTCTTTAAAATCTCAATCGTTGAAAAACTACGGTAGAATTTTGAACACTTTTGTACTACAATTTTACTTAAAAACACTCCAAAAGGTCTCCTAAAACATTTAATTCTACAAGTGTCCTAAAGAGTTGTGTCTCCAAAATTTACGAACTTTTAAAAAGACGGGTTCTAATAGCAGTCGTTGCTGACAGGATAACGCCGAAAAGGTGAAAGTTAATTTCTGTTATCGCAGATGAGAACATGTGTTTTTACAGCAAGCCCATTTTGTCTAACCTCATAACATCTAAAGTTTAAATGTGCCAGCGGGCTGATTATTGAAATTGATAGACACGGCAATAGAGAAAGAAGACGTAAAAAAAAATGGAGGGATCCTATTAGGTGAACCGGGTTGCTCCTGTAGACTATGGGGAAAATAAAGAAGTAACCATAGGGTCTCTCGTGGGTTGCTATTAGTCTATTTGCAACCACCCGCTCCCACCAATAGGATCACTCCGTTTGGTCCCCTTTGTCTATCAGCTTTAATATTCAGCCCGCAGGTTCGAGACTTCCCATTGTCAGGTTATAATGCTTTTGTAAATCCGCTACTGGCCCTGAAGTGAAATAAAGCGCTCTCAAGCTGTGACGTAACGTACCTCGGGGGTGTCAGCCAAGAATCCACTGGGGGTGACGACGGGGGCGGCGTAGGGTCCAGCGTATCCAGTGTAACCGGTCCAGTGGGCAGCGGCGTAGGGGACAGCGTGGGCAGCGTGTCCACTCTGCTTGGCGTGCTCGGCGAAGTGGGCAGCCTTGGCGGCGGCAACTTCGGGGGTGTCAGCCAAGTGACCGCTGGGGGTGACAACTGGGGTGGCGTAGGGTCCGGCGTAGTGTCCGGCGTGGTAGGCGGAGTAGGGGACTACGGGGGCGACTCCAGCTTGCTTGGCGTGTTCGGCGAAGTGGGCGGCCTTGGCGGCGGCAACCTCGGGGGTGTCAGCCAAGTGTCCGCTGGGGGTGACGACGGGGGCGGCGTAGGGTCCGGCGTAGTGGGCGGCGTAGGGGACGGCGACGGCGTGTCCGGATGCCTTGGCGTGTTCGGCGTAGTGGGCGGCCTTGGCGGCGGCGACTTCAGGGGTGTCGGCCAAGTGTCCGCTGGGGGTGACGACGGGGACGGCGTAGGGTCCGGCGTAGTGTCCGGTGTAGTGGGCGGCGTAGGGGACGGCGACGGCGTGTCCGGATGCCTTGGCGTGTTCGGCGAAGTGGGCGGCCTTGGCGGCGGCGACTTCAGGGGTGTCGGCCAAGTGTCCGCTGGGGGTGACTACGGGGAGGGCTTGTGGGCCCCAGTAGGGGGAGCGGCGGGCGCGGGAGCGGGCGGCGGCGTGTTCGGCGAAGTGGGCGGCCTTAGCGGCGACGACTTCGGGGGTCTCGGCGGGGACGACTGGGCCTGGGCCGGCCGGGGCGACGGGGAGGTCGTTGGCGGCGACGCGGTATCCCAAGCTGTCGGCTACGTAGTTGGTCTGGTGGACGGCGCCGTGGGGGTCGACGTAGCTGTAGCTTCCGACCTTGTTGCCGGCAGCATCCTGTAACCAAAAATCACGAGGTTTAGTGACGTAATTTGTTATTGAAGTGGCACCTCTAAGAATGTCTTTCTAAAGCGACCAAATTGGCTCGGAAAAAAAATGCGCCAAATTGTGGATAACCATTCTTAAATTCATCAAAATTATAGAGAAGTCCAAACATACGTACAACACCTGTCGGTGACGGCAGGAAAAACTGAGTATTCCACGATAGTGCCAGATTTCAGATTGGGGGGGGGGGGGGGTGCACCCAAGAGCTTTTAAACTGACGAGATGGGTCCTTCAACTCAGCTTTCCCGTGCTCCTCTCGGTAAGACATGAATGACGTCGGGCGCGTATGCTGTCACAGCCGTGACACCCGTTAATCGGTTTAGTGCTCGTGGTGCACTCGTTTATCGTAAGCCGAGCGCCACATTGCATCACAAATCGCTGCGGCTCAAATTTTCCGGTAAAAATCGAATGGTTTTGAGGTGCATCGTCTTTTGAACCCTTGATTTTCAACTCGCAAGAATTAAATTCACCCGCCGTGCCCTGAAGAAAAATGAAATAGCCTCTTCGTTTCCCATGAGAGAAGATGGTCCGTTACGGAAGATACTAGTATTGCTCGTGTAGGATCTGTTGCCTATCCTACTCTCTGAAGGTGTTCGGCTCTTAACGAACGTGTCGATTCAACAGGTCCAGTTGTTGACGAAAAAAGATGCAGTTGAATTTAGTGTGAATTATTCAGCAGTGTTGCCGATTTTACGAAATTATTTAAACATTCCCCCTTCCCTCCCGACGTGGAAGTTGAATGTTCAAATCAAATTTCATAATTTTGATGAAGGAGATCGAAAGGAGAATCTCATTTCACTCCTTAGATAAAGCACTTGCTGTTTTGAGAAAAGTTGATCGAAAATTATATAAATGCACGGAATTGGGTACTCGATTTTGCAGAAGAGTTGCAAAATTAATTCTCATTTTTTCTCNGGGGGGGGGGGGGGGGGGGGCGGCACCATGAAATATCATTGAATTTTCGAAGGCTGATCATGCAGCCCGCCAAAAATAATCAATTATTTCTCAAAAGCTCTCTCTATTATTTCGAAACTCTGAAGTTCGACTTGTGAAATTTTTTTTCGAAAGTTCAAAATCGAGATTCTGCCATTTCTAGGGCATTCCTGGCCCTCTGAGTAAATCATAGGAATTTTCAATAAATTTCACGAAGTTTTGTCGTGAAATTCCATTTTATAAAATTGTATTGAATTTTCTATTTCTGATCCCAAGTTCCCCTTAGTATCTCTCAATTGTTGCCAAATACTTTTACACCCAAGAACTTAACTCCTACGAAATGAAAATAAGGAATCTCACCTGAACTGCAGAGTGAGCCTGGAAGGGTTCACTGTGTCCGTAGCTAGCTTGTCCGAGCTCATCTTGTGAGTGGTATTGGGTTTTCACGGCAGCTACTGGGGCAATTGGGGCAATGGGGGCGATGGGGGCGATGGGGGCAGCTGGGACGGCGTAGGGGGCAGCCAAAGGAGCAGAGATGATGGGTGCACTGTAGGCATAGCTGTAGGGGGCGACGTAGCTGCCGTAGGAGGTCAAGGGTGAAATGGCCGAGTAAGCATAGCCGAGGCCGGGCTTAGCCAAGCAACTTGCTACGACTGCGCACAAAACAACCTGGAAAAAGATAACACATTCTTGTCAAACATCTTATTTCGGGGAAAGCTTTTAGAACAGACCAAATGTATGAAGCCTGGTTGTTTCGAGGTATTACAACCTCATTTTCAATCAGCAAATTAAACAAAAAGAATAGATGGAAACAGTGTTCGAAACTCACAGGCGCCAACGCGCCAAATGCGCCTAAAAAATCGGTCATGGCGCCTAAAAAATGAGGGCTCTGCGCCAACTAGGCCCCTAAAAATTGCCCCTTAAAAATCTGAATTTTCATATCAGGTGACTATTCGAAATTTTCAGCACTACAAGTGAAAGCTTTTTCTATTCTTCACGATTTCATCCTCAGTGCTTTCGTCTTCCCCAAGTTACAGTTACGTACTAGTTCTGTTACGAAAACCTCTTGCGTCTAATTTTCCACTAAATATGCTGTAATACATGCATAGGCGAAAAGTAAATTTGGCCCCTAAAAAATCTTCAATGGCGCCTAAAAATCAGGCTTGATGCGCCTTATGGCTTCTAAAACTCAAAGGTGAGTTTCGAACACTGGATGGAAATGTTATTATTTTTCACAGAAGAGACCAAATGTATGAAGCCTGGTTGTTTCGAGGTATTACAACCTCATTTTCAATCAGCTAATTAAAAAATATTAAACAAAAAGGATAGATGGAAATGTTGTTATTTCCCAACCGAAACTAAATCAAAACTTTTTCGTTTATTCTGGATCGAGTAATATTTTTCTTTCTTTTTGGCAAATACTGTACGAGAGACTGTGGTTACCTTTGCCCATTAAAGAATTTACCAAATTATGAGCCTTTACAAAGGAAGCAACACACGCCTGTCGCAACTCTTAAAAAATCGGGGCAAATGTAAAAAAAAATCCTTTTTTTTTGCATTTATGGTTCTTTGTGTTCAATGAATTTTCCTCTCGTCTCATAGTTAAGAACTTAATGATTTTTTCTTAATATCTGAGAATATTCTTATTGTGACAGAGGTATACTTTATATGTATGTATACCCAACACCTCTCACTGATTTTGAAATTACAGGAAAAAATCATCCCTATCTTTTGCTCCCAAATTTTTTCACAGGCTTATTTCATGCAATTTTGCCTGCAATGAGCCTCATTACATCAACCTAATTTTGTTTTACTTTATGACTTGATGAGATGAGTTTCCACAAATTTAAAGTATAGAAGAGAACAACAAATTGGTTTGCTTTTGAAAGAAATCGAATTTTTTGAGAATTACATTACCAGTATAGAAGTTTCCACCAGATTTTGCGACTTAAAAATTACTCATTCTTTCTGTCGGAGTTTAAAAGAAATTGAAATTTGTTACTTAAAATATCCGAGTAAGTGCCCTACCAGAACTGTCACTTTTTTTAGTAAAATTTCGTTACCATTCAGAAGGATAAAAACTGAAGGAGCAAAGAGTTCGGAGATTTGGGAGGTCTTTTTATTAATTTGATGAGATTATTTGTTTTTAAGACAATCTCTAAAAAGAGGGATTTTTTTTTTCTGAACCAAAATACGAGTATTTAAGTTTATGAGCAGGTATTTGTCAAATTCTATTCGCGAGATACTTAAGCATTAAGATTTGGGGACAGTTAAAAAAAAATTCGTATTACTTTTCTTTTCCTCTTGCCTGAATAACGCCAATTTAATTTTAAAAACCATATTATTATTTAAAAGAATGCATTGTAATTTTATAATAATGATAAAGAGCAAAACAAAAAAAACTGTGTTTTCAAAAATTTGCTCAAAGTATCATTGTTTATTTAAAAGTTTTTTTTTTTTATTTTTTTTAAAATATAGCATAAGTTTACATATTATCAAAGCGAAAATCGGCTGAAAGCTCAATATTTTCCTCTTTTATTTTATGAGTAGCCGAAAACCCAATAAGTCAGTAATTCTGTTCATTCAAAAGTATACACTGAATCCACAAGTAAGAGTTATTTTCGCAAATCCGCGGTAGTTCAGGAATTAAATAAATAGGAGTGGACAGAAAAAACAATTTACTTCTCTCTGACTGTTAAAATTTCTTCCGTCGAATTAGAGAGAAATTTTTCAGGATTTTACCTATGAAAGATTGAGTCAGAGGACCTCATGAAAATTTAACAAAAGTCAATTAATATCATAACTTTCAGCAGAGAGTTGAACGTTCTGTCATCCCAAATGAAAATCACTCTTGAAGGTGAATAACTTTCTGCAGTCTCAATACTGATCGTCAGACTCATAAATCAAGCTCAAATATTGAAATTGTTTTAAAGTAACGGCATCAGCCTTGGCCATGAAAAGTTAAGTATGTAAGAGACAAGTCACTGCCGTTGAACTGAGTGTCCGTACGGATACTAGCTTACTGACCCGTGTTCACTTGTTTGCCAAGAGTGCTTAAAGCCTTATTGGGCGCTCTAGTGAATGTTTGCCAGTTCTAAGTCATGTCAATGTGTTACAACCACCATAAAACTTCCTAAAGTAGACGTTTTTTAGTCTTTTTGGCAGATAATCCAAATCAGAAAACTTCCATATTAAGTTGGAAGTAAACTTCTTTTTGGCAGATAATCCAAATCAGAAAACTTCCATATTAAGTTGGAAGTAAACTTACAGTATTGTTGTAAGTCCGCACCGTACAAGCAGGCAATTTCAAGCTTTTTAAAGATACTGAGTTCAAGGTTTTTTCATAATAAGAGTCAGTATATACGTGTATATTTCTTTAAAGAGAGAGTCATTTCTCCGGAAGTGAGCTGTAGCTCCGCTCTCAGAACAGTAGTTGTCAGTTTATTAATTTTTTTGAAATCAATTTTTATTTATTTATTTAATTGCCAGATTTAATTATTTTCTGGTAAACCCAATTATTTAATTTTATTTTTTAATCCCGATTCTTTTTTGAAAGTGCGTAATATTTTTATATCAGTATCATCGCTTTAAATTTATTCCTATGATAAATGAGATTACCTATTGATACCAATGAATCCCCCATTCAAATCCGTAATTTTTTTTTTTAACTTTTAGTCAGCCATCGCTCAACGACATTTTATTAAATGTTTAAAAGTAATGTAAGTAATGTTTTTATTTCAGACAAGATAATTTTTTTTTTTTTTTTTTTTTTTTTTTTTTTTTTTTAATAAAGAAATAATTCGGAAAACGGAAAATGCAACTGTATGAATAGAAAATTTGGCGAGGAAAATGGAAACGGTTAGATGTTAAAAACTGATAATACTTTAAGATGAGACTTACCAAGACCTTCATGATGCTAGTTTGGCAGCACTTGAGACCAAATGTGCTCCCCAGAGCAACCGACTAGGTTTTATAGTGGTCCACCAAGGCCACCCTATTGCACTTCCTAATTGGGCGGAGCAGTTTTGAGCACCCTGTAGCTCTTCTCCTCAACTGGTGGTGGTATTTGCCTGAATCTCCCCCTTTTCTTAATGCTCTCTCCTGAAAGCTCCTAACCTGACGTGAACTTAACTCTTCAGTAGCTCTCCGGAAAGTTCTCCTTTGTGTTTACTACTCACATACAGAGTGTCCATACTTACGGTTCGGGAATTTTATTCAAACTCTTTGAGCATTGGAGTCTCATTCGACTTCATTTTAATTTTAGATCTCGCTTTCGCTCTACTACGGAGCTCTAGACACTTTTATTTTCAATGCCCTCTCTATATTCCCGTACTTATTTTTCAAGTGGCTTTCTCGAGGATTCAATTGATGCATAATGAAAATAAATTTTACTTTCAATTTCGGTATCCGGGTCATCGCTGAAAATTTTTCTTTTGCTAAAAGGCCACGACAATTTTTTTTTTAAATTATTGTGCTCACTGATTAAATAATTCTTTTGTTAGCTGTCTCTCTGCCCATAGAATATAAATTTGTGTGAGTAATTTGCTGTTTTAACTTCACTTTTTCACTTTTTTTTTTTCACTGCACACCAATTTATTTCATAAATCAAAATATCCCTCACATCAAATGTCTTAATAATTTCACCGTAACATTCTTAGATAATCATTTTATCGGTACCAAAACCTCTTATCGGGTTCTTTGTTTCGCAATTTATTTAATGCCTATGAGAGTGTCTCAGATTGCCCTTATCTCCTTAATTAATCCTTCGAAAATTGGAAGATCAGGTATCTGGTCAAAATTGCTTAGAACTTTAAAAAATAATACAAAAAAGATCGTTCCATTGTGTCCAAAAAATAACGTTGCGTCAATATCGTTGATCCTCCCCTGCTTGAGTAGAGTCCCTTTTATCTCTGTAAACTTCAGCAATGTTTTTCTCCCTCTTTGTGATTATTTTCAAAACAATAGCCAGGCTCGAAAGTTGGAGGAAGTTTTGTTCCACAGAAGTCCTTGACTCCTTACTCGTCGAAAATTTTGAAATTTGACATCGTACGTACGCCGATTTTTGTAAAAGAAAAAAAATCGTTGAGTAATTTTTCGCAAGATTATGGGAATATTTTTCGAAAACTCATGACAGCCCCCCTCTTCTCCCCAGGCACCTACTGTCGCTGTTTGAAGTTGACTTTCAGGGAAAAAAATTTGGACAAGGTTTAAAAAATGGCTGTTAGAGGAGTTTCGACCCAATGTAGTAACATTTGATGAAATGCAAAGTCGTAAAATTTCACGATGAACGTTTCTAAAATTTACGAAACATATCGACGGTGTAAGTTCGCAACCACGTATCTCGTTTGCAGTGTTTGACAATCTCCGATTATATTTTATTCTTTTAAGAAGAACAAATGGACATCACCCCTTGAAGTTTTCGTAGAATTTCCTTCAAACAGAGGGGAAAAATCACGGCAGTTTTGAAGAATTGCCGTTGAGAAGTCCATTTCAATAATGAAGAATGCCAGGAAGTCTCCATCGTCGCAAATCGAGGTACGTGGCTCTGGTTGCGGACATACACCGTCGATAGCTTAATTCATGTTTTAAATTGTAAATTCGTCGCTTGGCTGACATAAGGGCGTAACTACACATTGAGATGAGCCCGGAAAAGCATTAAATTGTATGGAAGACCGGGTTCATTGCAGAGTGTAGTTACGCCCTCATGTCAGGCAGAAGACGAATTATCAGCTGTACACTCAATAATTATCAAAATCTTTTCAGTATTCTTCGGAAATATCATCTATTCTTACCATCACTCCATTCAGTCCATAAAAAAAAAAAAAAAAAAAAAAAAAAAAAAAAAAAAAGAATTAAGGAACTAAGATTTGTTGTGTATTTTGGCGTTTCTAAGTGCGGGCTGCCTACCCTGCCCTGAATAGAAAATGTGCCTTATTTTTTGTAAGTTTCATAACCGCGTAAAATTTTATGAAATATTTCACGCAGATTTCAAATCTTTCACACGTTTCATTTTGTTTCATGCTGCAGCCACCCCGATCTCGGCACGATTTTAATATAAAGTGGCGCGATTATCAGCGGATTAATCGATAAAATGACGTCACTCACGTGCGATCTACCGTGATTAAATTGTCATAATGATTGTGAGTAATTATATCGGATAAAAAAATGATCGGAAGTCGACGGAGCCGTTTGACGCGGCTCAAGACCGTAGGTGCAACATCCTACGCAAATCCCGCGACCAGGAGCGCCCAGCGTTGTCAAACTCGCTCGGAAACTTGTCGAAATTCGGGGTTAACTCCACAATCGCAACTACGACTCGGCAACACAGGACCGAGGTATTATGGGTCAACCGCTGTCAGTGTCAATGCCAGTGAACGCGGAACGATAGCCAGGCCTGCGACATCATAATCGACGCCTCTCAAGTGCTGAGGGCTGAATATTGAAATTGATAGACAAAGCGATAGACAAAGAAGACGACGGGAAAATGCAGCGAGCGTATTGGTTGGAACGAGGAGTTGTTGTAGACCAAGGGAGGAAATGATGGGCTACCTAAAGGGTTTCTCGTGGGTTGCCGTCAGTTATTCTATTACTTTGTCCATCGCAACCAGCTGCTTCCACCAATAGAATCTCGCCATTGTCTCTATATTAAAATCCGTCGCTTTGTCTATCAGTTTCAAGAATTAGCCTGCAGAAAAAGCCGTCGTCGCGGCGTTTTGTGCGCATTTCCAGGAGACGGATGCACAAATTGGACCTTGTTAAGCAGAAAGGAACCAAGCCACATCAGCTATTGCCAAAATTTAAGTGGGCAATATAATTGTTTACAAGAGAACGTTTGTGCGGATTCGTTTGAAAATGTAAATGAATTTGCTCAGCACTATGCAGGAAATTCACTGAAAACACAAAAATACGCACAACCGTTTTCATGTAAAAAATTAAATAGTCCAATTGAATTTGGCAGTAGCTGATAGCTGATGTGGCTTGGTTCTTTTCTGCTTGTCTCATTTTGGGGCTGCAACTTTTACCGTTCGCTTCACGAGTGGCAAGAAGCCCGCTCAGATAAATCGCGGATATTCTGAATCGCTGATAACCGAGACGTGGATAATCGAGACTACTGTATTTGAGTTGAAAAAACATTATTTTTTTTTTTTTTTTTTTTTTGAGAATTGTTAAATTTTTTTCTCAATGTGTATTCGGTTTGGATTGGTGCCTTTCTGGGTCCCTGGATGCAATCGATGCTTTTCTAGGGCGTAGCTCCGAGATCATTATTATGTATTTCACACGCTCTCATCATACAAAAAATTTTTAGCCTCGCAAGGTGAGATGGGGTGACTAGTCCGTGATGCAAGTAGGCCATACCCTCTAAACGTCTGCACTTGTGCAGCGTTAATTAAAATGAGACGGTTGGTATTACTTCATTATGACGCAAACCACTCAGAATATCATAACATAAGTGCCAGAAAAAATTGCTGGAAAGTGGAGTGCCAAAAATTACTCCGTGTCCACGCAAAAAAAAAAAAAAAAAAAAAACTTTGGATGCGGTCTCCTTCAATAAAGCTGCGCACTCGCGCTGAGAAAGCACTGGATTCAGGTTTCCCAATGGCGCAGAAAAGCGGGAAAGTCAGGGAATTTTGCGATCAGTGCGTTCGGTTCTTCCCACCGATAGTACCTTTCAAAAAACTTCTGATTGCTGCTTTCTGTAATTTTATTCTCTATAAGTATATATTTTCCAAAATTTATTAGCAAAAGTGAGCGTATTCACTAAAAAAAGTTACTAAAAAAGAAATGGAAAAAAGGGAGGTAGATGTTTTTTGCAGAGACCAAGAAAGCAGACATTTTTAAAGTGAGAGAAAAGCGAACAAAATCAGGGACAAATCAGCGAAAATTAGCGAATTTTTCTAAATTTGCGTCGGTTCTTGCCGTGAAAAATGTATAAAAAGGTAAAAAAAAGGGAGGTAGAAGTTTTGTGCAGAGATCAAGGAATTTGAAAATTTTGGAGTGAGAGAAAAACAAAGAAAATCAGGAGACTAATCAGCGAAAGTAAGGAAATTTTCCCGAATAGTGCTTCGGTTCTTACCTCCCGATAGTGTCTTTTAAAGAACTTTGAGGCTGGCTTTGAGTGCCTTTTCCCATCATTGGCATCATTCAAAGTTCTAGAAAAGGGAATACCCAAAATTGCGCAAAATTTAACGTTCTTTGAAAGAAAGAGAAAAAAATGATGGAAGTTTTGCTTTTCAAACTTTGGAGTCAGGGAAAGTCAGGGAATTTGAAAATGAAGACTTCATTGAATCCTCGAGGTTTCAAAAAATAAATCGAGCTCCGGGTCCTTTTTTTTCTTAAGTTTTTCCCGAAAATTCCAAAATTATAAGATACTTCAGCTCGAATACGCAAAAAACAGTTGTAGTATAAAATGACTCGTGTCCAGTACGAGACAGCTTGTAAAAATTGCCGCCCCCCCCTCCACCGGAAAAAAAACCGCGAGAGTTGCTTCTGATGTGAACAATCGCATTCTCCCCCTGAGGTCCCTTGATTCTGGAGTTGGACGCGGGGGCGTTGACCTCACCCTTGACCTCCATATTTGACTCGATTCCTTTGGTTGTCGCCGGCGAAAAAACCGGTCAAGTTCGCCCGGTGCACGCATGCATTTTACACCGCTGCAAGTGCATTGTTCCTCGATCGCTCACGAAATCTTCGCATTCGGTGCATATTTTTCCATTCATCACAGTTGGGGAACCGTGCTACAAATCTGTTCTTTTTTACGTATGATTCAAATGAGGTCGTCGATTTCTGGACGGGAGAGCGTAACTTCATCCCAAGTTTGCAAATTGACTCCAAATTTTAAATCTCCTGTCCGAGATTTTGCCAATTTTTGCGTGTGATCAGAGAAATAGCGATGAAAATTTTTGCTATGAAACGCCCAACAGTTTCTCAGTAAAAATTTATTTTGCAGGCGGAAAGTGGGGAATTTCCGGAAAGTCCCGAAAAAGTACCGATTTTTTAAGAGCAATCCGGAAGCACTGATGAAAAAGT